ATGAAATTAAACAGGCTGGAAACCGCCAATATCCTTTTGATACAAAAACAAAATCGTTATTAAGCAGGTCAGAGTTGTACAGATTAGTACCCAGGAACTATCTCAAAATCAACTACAGGTAGTCCCTGGTTGTGAATGGGTTCCGTTTTGGAGTCCGTTTCCAAGTTGATTTGTACACAAATTGGAACACAATGCAGGACAATGTGAAACAGCCATTTGTAAGCACATGAAATGTCCATATGTCACGTCTTTAAAATTACACCCCATATGGGATCTTGTTCATAAGTATGAATGTTCATAGGTCAAATGTCCATAAATTGCGACCCCTTGTATTCAAACTGGTCAGTTTTGTTTTCAAAGATACAGCTCACAAAACATACTGCAAGACCAACTAACCAATTTTACCTAAATCCTTTCAGCAGACAAGTTATATCCTCATCTGTTCAGATCTATGTATTGGCTCATGTGGAGCATAAATACTGGCCCGCCCCAATTGGTCAAAATGGCCTGATTCTGTCCAGTAAATTCTATATAATTTAAATGTATACCTTAACAGGAACATTAAATATCATGATTAAGTGTAAAGAACAGAGCAGTTCTGAAGAAGTGTAACCGGACCTGAAGTGCTTTCTACCTAAAGATGCTGCTAGACGAATTAAGTTTCTCCAGCAATTTCTGTTTTTGTTTCTGATTTCCAGCATCAATAGTTCCTTATTTTTTGTTGTTTATAAATTAATTGGTAATCTGTTTCATTGCTGGAAGTAAGTTGTCTGCTATCGTTGTCTACAAAAGGACAGTCATTAAACTTCAAGAGTAATTAATTAACTTTAAAGTACTTGGAGATATCCTGTGATAATAAACAGACACACTAAAAATAAAACTTTTATCAATGGTCTGGGTACCTGGCTATTCCTGGGGTCCCCGATTTATGAATGTCCGACTTATAAATGCTTGTACTTACGAACGCGATCTCATACCGGGGTGTAATTTTAACGACCCAACATATGAACACTTCCTTTACTTACGAACTGCTGCTTTACATTGTCCTACATTGTGTTCCAGTTTGCACATAAATTGGCTTGCAAACAAACTCCGGAATGGAACCCATTCGTGGGGACTGCCCATACTTCATCCTATAGGTAATTTTCCTCAGTGGGTACAAGATAGTCTTATGGTATGGAAAAATAACTAGCATTCAGAAAAGATCTTTCATATCAAAGCACTTCATGGTTAGCTGACCAGATAACTGTTGGCAATGGATAAATATGAGTCAGAACATCAGGAGAATGTCATTTTTCTCTTCAAATCATGCGATGGAATCTTTTATACTCACTTAAACAGAAAGGTGGAAACATGACTTAACACATCTGGACAAAATGATGTCCCTCATATAATACAGCAGTGACCAGTCCTGCTGTGAAAGGTCAGTAATGACAAGCTCATGTCCTGTTCCGGCCTTATGATTCTAAGACTCAATTGCAACCACTAGCCTGAAAGATATGAGAGAATAGATTAGATATTTACAAAATAAAACTGTGAATAAATTTACTTAAATATATAGTAAATGAACCATAGCAAAATGCATGTACATCTACAAACACAAGAAGTGTCTCAAATGGGCTGAAAGGTCTCAACAGTGACTTAATTAAAAGTGAATTCAAAGCTACAGACTTCAGTGCCCTGTAAGTCGTGCCTGTCTGTGTTCCACAGGTGCTCACCAACAGTCTGATGTTTGCTTTCACAGCTTGAATCCGGCAGAGGGACTGATTTACACTTGTCTCTCATTTACTCAACCCTAGGTTGAGCAGAGCACACTGAAGGAAGAGACTATCTGAAGAAATCTGAACTGTTTATATTGTGGATTCATGTCTTTGCTATAGCTCTAATATCTTCTTGCTACTAAAACACCTCTTGGGAGGGAAGTAATCGTGTGGCTAACGGAGTGGTGTGGGGGAAAAGATTGTTGGAGCACTGGCATCAGTATTGGGTCAGGAGGAACTATACCTTTGAGACAGGCTGCACTTGAACTGATTTGGAACCAATGCCCGAGTGGAAAGGTTGGGTAGGATGATCACAAGGACCTTAAAACTAGTAAATTCTGGGGAGAACTCGGGGGTAGTCAAAACTGTTTCAAAATCAAATATCATGGCATTAGTAAAGAAACAGTCAGGAATCTTCAGGTATGGCAAGGAATGGGAATATTATAAGAAGTATATTGATTAAACTGAAAGAGAGAAATAGTAAACAGTTGAATAAAACATCAGTGCTGAAGGACAGGTTAAGTGTACGACCCAAATAAAAGTTCCATATACAAATGCGCAGAGAGTAAGGAATACATTAAATGAGTTGCAGGCACAAATTCAAATTGGAGATTATGATATAGTAGCCAATAATAAGACATGGCAGCAGGACGGTTGGAATTGGGAACTGAATATACCAGGTTATAGGTTCACAGCTCAGTGAGATAAAATGGCAGACAGGGTGGAATAGCCTTACTGATTAGAAACAAAGTTACTTTAATGGTGAGGGAGGATACAATGAGGGCAAAGAATACAACTGAGACATTATTGGTGGGACTGAGGAACAGTGAAGGATCTAAAATGTAATAGGTGTTGTGAACAGAACCCCTAGGAAGCAGCCCTGAAGTGCTGGTTTTTATAAATGCAGAAATGAGACAAGGGTATAGCAAAGCTAGAGTAGAAGTAATGAGGGAATTTAACTTTAACGTAGGTAGTGAATTTCTGGAGTGTGTTTGGGATAGTTTCTTAAAGCACTATATCCTGGTTTCAACAAGGAGATATGCAATATTGGATTTAGGAATGAGAAATGTGCCAGATTTAATTAGTAACTTAATTGTGCGTGAACATTTGTCAATAGTGATCATAACATTATTGAACTCAATGCAACATTTGAAAGCAAAAGGCATGAATCAGCTCCTGGAGTTCTTGAGTTAGATAAGACTGACTTTAATAACATGAGGCAGACACTATGCACAGTAAACTGGGAAAAATCTGCTCATGGATAAACCAACTGAAGAACAGTGGAGGATACTTAAAGAAACATTTAACGTAATGTGAAAAACAGTTTATACCTCTGAGAGGAAAAAGCTCCACTCCACAGAAAAAAAAACATGGATAACTAAAGAGAGAAGGGACAGCATAAAACTTAAAAAAAAGCTTACAAAAATGCAATAAAGAGCACATATTGTACTGAATGGGAAATACAAAAGATCAGCAAGGGTCCACAAGGTATCTTATAAGAGCTACTAAAGGGATAACGAAAGGAAACTTGCCAGATACATTAAAGTCATTCAGAAGTTTTATAGCTACATAACGGGAAAGTGGGTAGTCAGAAGCAATATTGACCCACAAAAGACTGAAAGTGGAGACATTGTCAATGACAATGGGGAAATGGCAGGTACGTTGAATAATTACTTTGCCTCAGGTTTTGCAGTTAAAAGTGGGGATAGCTTGCCGAGGGTAACCAGGGAAATTAATAGTGGATCGGGGCAGGGACTAAATAGAATTAACATTAGTGAAACATTGATAATGAGACATTTAATGAAATTAAAGTGTGACAAATCCCCGGGACATGACAGTTTCCATCTGAGGATGTTAAAGGAAGTAGGGAGCACATTGTCAACATTCTAACTATAATTTTTCAGAGTTCCCTAGAAACAGGAGTTGCCCCACTGATTTGGAAAATTGCACAAGTCACTCAATTTTCATAAGATGGGTGAAAGAGGGAATTATGGACCAGTTAGCCCAACATCTGTGGTGGGGAAATTGTTGAAGTCTATAATTATGGATGGGGATAATGGAACACCTTGAAAAAATTCAGTTAACTAGGGAGAGCCAGCATGGATTCATGACAGGTAGGCCATTGCTGACATATTTCATTGAATTTTTCAAGAGGTGACTAAGGTAGTAGACTAGGGAATGTCTATGGATATCGTCTACATGGACTTCCGGAAGGCATTTGATAAAATCCAACATAATTGGATTTACTAAGATAGACGCCAACAGAAGTGAGGGCAAGTTACTGACATGGCTGGGAAATCGCTTGACTGGCAGGCAACAGAAAGTAGGGATAATGGATAGGTACTCAAATTGGCAAGTTGTGACCAGTGGTGTCCTGTAAGGATCTGTGTTAGGGCCTCAATTATTCACACTCATTATTAATGACATGGATAACGGTGTAGAAAGTCATATATCCAAATTTGCTGATGTATCCAAATGATTCTGATTGCATTTGAAAAAAACAATGTACCAATCTATTTGGTGTTCAGAGGAGGTTATTGACAGTGCAAGAGGGTTCAGTTCAACCTCTAAATCCAAGAAAAGAGTTGGCAATTGATGGGACATGTTGACCAACCTCCCCTTTCACTTGAATTATGTTGAATGCATCTCCTCTTCCAGGCAAAAGTGCTCTGGCTCCTCAGGAAGTTGTGAAAATGTACAAAGTACAAAGGAAACAGAGATCTGATATAATGGAGCTCTGTTCCTTTTTCCTTTATTTTATAGCAGGTAAATAAGCATGCTTCAAAGATAAAGTAAAGGAACATGAGCGCCAAAATATCTTGTACAGCCTCCTGACTGTGAAATGTCATAATGTTGTTAAATTTTGGAGACTGATTTAAGATATTAGAAAGCCAATGCACTATATTACCTGTTCAGCTGTAAAAATAAAATAATAAGTGTTTAAGTAGTTAAATGGATCAGAACCTTCTCCCTGCGACCTGTCGGATTTTGGCCAGAAGGACAACATATTCATTTGAATTGAAGGAATCATCTGTGAGTTAAGTCAACAAAACTGTCTGCTCGAAATCTAAGAAACCAACAATATAGGCATGCATAATGCCTTTTTAACAAAGGGGTTGCATGTGATTTTCTTATTGCTATGTGGTTCAATGTCTGGTGCTGTCAACTATTAACTTTAACATAGAGATATTAGCACAATGACCATTTTGAAAACATTTCTCCATCTTTTTAAAATCACAGGCAAAGCGATCAATTTATTCCCACCTGAGTACACTGGCAGATTTTGCAATAGAAATGTTTGATGTTCTAGATGAAATCAACTATCAATCATACAATGACTTTGTCTTAAGAGTTGGTAAGTAGTTGTCTTGGAATTAGTAATGGTGATTTACTTTGTAATTAAGTGAAGAAATCTGAGTAATACACATTACCAACATAGACTATTAGTATGACGATGTATATAGAAATGCTCAAACAGATCTTATTTAATTTTTTTTAATGGATTAATCATAAACACTATATGCAACATGAACTTAAAAGAGCCATCTGCTAGACAGCTTACAAAGAAACATTATAAAGTGTCATAGGAAAAATATAAAACTATAGGCGTCCATCTAATTTCCCCTGAAATGTAGCAACTGAAAAGAAATTGCAAACAATTAATCTTCTCTTGAGTAAGTTTATAGATTTCCCTTGAGTTATGAAAGGGAAAAGTTCCAACTGGATTGCTATTTCAATTTGCTAGCCAATGATTCCTTCTGGAAAGAACGGGTGTTTAAGTTCAAATGCATGGATCTATTGTATGAAGCTCAAAGTAAGGTTCAGCCCTTCATTGTCAAATTGAATGCCAACATTCATTCAGAATGAAATTTCTTTGCACTGTGCCTAATTTATCATAAAGAAACTGAGCACCAAGCATTGAATATGGCTGTCAGCACGCATTCTTTCATACCATACTGAAAGGGCCAAGCCCCATCTTATTGAATTAATTTGCTTGTTAAATATCCAGAAAGAGATCCAGAAATATGTTAAATAATGAGTAACATGCTCGTTAAAGGGACTATTTGCAACACTGGAGCACCCGGCTCCTGACTAACCTGTTGCTCAGCAATGCTTGGCATGAACAAACAAGGAGGACACTTGAGCAGCACCACTTAAAAGACCATTACAGGCAAATATAAGCTCAGACTAGTTACACCAGTCTGCAGAATTTAATCTTTTAACCTTGGTACCATTCTGGTGTAACTATTCTTGCACTAACTCCAGGACTAATACATCCCTCCTGAGGTATGTTGTCCAGAATTGAATGAAGTAGTAAAAATGCAGTCTAACCAGACCTTATTCATGTGGAAGTAAATGTCCTGTTTCCTATTCATTGTTGAATTAGTCGAAGGTAGAAGGAATAAGTTCACATGTAAGCAGGAACTTCCAATTCTTCCTAAACCACCTACTTTCAACATAGATGTGAGAAGTTTAAAATTAAATATTACCTTTATTTACTTGAATTTTGAAACAGCAAATTTGGCATTCTTTAAAGCTTGGTGTCCTAGGTGACCACCTAGTTTACCTAAATTCTTGAGTTGGCCCTGCAAGCTAATACAAACATTAATACTCAACACCATAATGTTTCTCCCATCTAGTCTAGACAATAGATGGTCAATGAATCCAAGTTTTTTTTTAACTTGATTGACTGAGAAGGCAGTGAAAAATTTTGCACATTTCATGGAAGAATTATCTGGAAGAGTTAATGAAGAGAATAAAGATTGGGGTGTCACGATGGCTCAGTGATTCGCACTGCTGCTTTCAAAGCACCAGGGACCCAGGTTAGATTCCAGCCTTGGGTGACTGTCTGTGTGGAATTTGCATATTATTCCTGTGTCCGTGTGGGTTTCCTTTGGTGCTCCAGTTTCCTCCCGCAGTCCAAAGACACGCAGGCTAGGTGGATTGACCATGCTGAAATTGTCTGTAGTGTTCAGCGGTGTGTAGGCTCACTAGAATAGCCATGGGAAATCTGGGGTTCCAGGGGTATGGTATGGGTCTGAATGCTGTTTGGAGGGACACTGCAGATTCAATGGGCCGAATGGCTTCCTTCTGCACTGTAGGGACTGTAGGATTAAATGCATCTGAGAAGAAAATGTAATATTGCAGATTGTACTTGTTCTAATGGGTGTGAAGTTCCGAAGGTATTTGTATCCTTATTCAGTGTTTTCTTGTGTCTTTATATTGTTTTTGTTGGAAACCACATTTTACATTTTGGCCAAAAATAATATGCTGCAAGAAATTAGCTTTGTTTCATTTGCATTTGAAGGATCCATTATCACTTACTGCCTGCTTTTGGTAGCATTTATTTTCTTAAGGCTTGTAAAATTAAAGATGAACATTCAGATTTTCAACGCAGCATTCTTCTCTCTTTCTGCCACTGCAGGTATAAATGTTGGACCTGTCGTGGCAGGTGTGATTGGAGCAAGACGTCCACAGTATGACATCTGGGGAAACACCGTAAATGTTGCGAGCCGAATGGATAGTACGGGGGTTCAAGGCAAAATTCAAGTTAGTAACTTGCTCTTACAAAATACAGTAGGAAAATCAAAATTAAATACATGATTTTTTAAAATTCATACTTTTGAAATCCAGCGTAGTTTCTTTTCCTCACTAAGTTATGTTTTATAACCCTCAGCTATGTTTTTTTTATTTTGCCTAATTCATCTCATTCCATAAATAACAAAATATCCATATCTTAAATATCGCTGAAAAGACAAATGTGTTGCCAAAGCTTTTCATCTTGTGTGTATCAGGACAACCACAGGGATGTCAAATTTTCGTCAATTTCACCAATCAACATTGCAAGAGAAAAGGTGCTAATTGATTGTTAAGCCAATTCTAATTGGCCGAGGCATTGCCATGAAAAAAGCAATATAGAACTATAGGCTCCCTAAGCTCCCTGGTCAAGGTTTACATCTTATTTTTAATGACCTATTTGCTGCTCCTAGTTGCAATAATTGATAAAATTACATAAAAGTCTAAAGTTCTACATGTAGAATAGTTGAAGTCTGACAATGAATGCTGAGGTTAAGAATAGGCACCTTGCAGAATGAAAACTGTTTCTGGACTGTTTCTGGAAAGCTGCACTGTTACTGTCCATTAAGCTGGTTCCAAGAAAATATTTCTTACTATACCCTTAAAACACCTCATATCGAACTCCTATTCCTAAACATAAAGGTGTCCATTGTCCTCAAATCCCCTAATGCATAATATCTTGAGATAAATGTCCTGGTCCTTTCTGGATTCATCAACATGCCTTTCAACTCTTTATATGTTATTTGTATCATTCTTAATATTTTCTTGGCTCACGTTAAAATTCTACTCCCATTTTAAGAAGGAACCCCTTTTTCTTTGATTTGTTTGCCTGTTCACCTCACCTTACTACTTTAAACCTTCTTGTACAACCTGCATCCTGTTTGTAAGGATTAACAGCAGTGATTTTTACCTTACTTCAAGTGGAACTCTTCTCACCTCAGTAGCGTCTCCCTTTCCCAGGAATTATCTAGTGTCCCAAGAATCAAAAACACTTTATTTTTATATCATTACTCAGTTACCATATCTCCACTATGCTTTACTTGGCAGCAGGAGAAATTATAAACTTGCTACCACTGAACTCTTGAACTTTAATGAAACTTTCAATTCCTAAAGGTTGATCTGAATTATACCATTTTAGTCTTTTGTTATACAGTTGATTTTGAAATGAGCCACGGTTTTTAGATACCATTTCACATATTCTTCCTAACTGTAACCTAGGAGACTTCCTGTTAGTCAGGATTTTACAGTACAGCAGAAAAGGGACTTGGAGGAAGGAAGTGTATATACTGTTGCCAAATTTGCAGATGGCATTAAAATAGGTGGAAAGGTAGGTTGTGAGAGGGAAACAAACAGTTTGCAGAGAGATATTGATAGGTTAAGTAAGTAGGGAAAAAATTCAGCAGATGGAGTAATGTGAGAATATGTGAAGTTCTTCATTTTACAGAACACATGAGCTAGCACCCAGGTACAGCAGGGAATCAGGAAGGCTAACGGAATGTTGGCCCTTATTTCAAGGGAGTTGGAGTATAGGAGTAGAGGAAGACTTACTGCAACTGGACAAGGTGCTGGTGAAAGTATTGTAAGCAATTTTGGTCCCCTTCCTTAAGGAAAGATATCATTTCACTGGAGGCAGTTCAGAGAAGGTTCACTGGGATGATCCCTGGTATGGATGATTACCTTTATGAGCAAAGACTAAATAGGTCTATTCATTGGCTTTTAAAAGAATGAGAGGTGATCTTAGTGAAACATAAAAAATTGCAAAGAGGCTTGATAGGGTAAATGCTGAGAGACTGTATCCCCTCATTGGAGAATCTAGGACCAGAGGGCATAATCTCAGAATAAAGGAGTGCTAATTTATACTCATATGAGAAGGAATTGCTTGTCTCAGAGAGTTGTGAGTCTTTGGAACTCCTTGCTGCAGAGACCTTTGAAGCAGAATCCTTGTGTACATTTAGGGTTGAGATAGATAGATAGATTCTATATCAGCAGTGGAATCAAGGGTTATGGGGAAAATGCAGGAAAGTATATGTGAGGAATGTCAGATCAGCCATGATCCTATTGAATGGTGGCACAGGCTTAAGGGGCCAAACTGCCTGTTCCTGTTCCAATATCTTGCCATTTTTATGGTCTAAAAAAGTCTCTGGGCTATCTTCCAGTCCTATTTTGAATTGTCTAATTCATGTCCCCATTAGAAACCATTCACATCACAATGCTATGGTATTTTTTGTCTTGTCTTCTGTTACTATCCTGATCCTCTTGATCAAAAATTGTAATTGGAAAAGCTCAAACTCCCACTGGCTACCAGTAGTTTTTCCTTTGTCTCCATCTTGAACTACATAGTATTCTCTTTGAATGCTATTCTCAACTACATTTTACATGGTTAATTCTTTGAACTGTGAAGTGACCATCTTTTGAAATATATTTTACGGAAATCTTTCCTTTCATGTTGTGGAGAGTATCTATAGGGTCTGCAACTGGTTATTTCTGTGCACAAATTGCAAGCTTCACATATACATATCCAAGAACCTATACGCTTTCAATTTTTCTCACACCACGGGTGCCGTGCACATCATGAATTCACCCTCCCACAGTTACATCTTCTTATTTGTACATATGGTCTGAGTTTCTGGTGATATCACCTTGCTTTTAATGGTTTGCTTTTTACATTAAAATAAGTGGCTTTGAATTTCTTTCATGTGCCAGATCCACTTCACAAGTTTTTTTTTAAATATACCATTAATACTAATATGGAATGGTGGGATTCTCTCTTTTGTTCCAGTTTTAATCTATTGCAGTTTATTATTATAGAATCATGCAAAGTTACAGCACAGGAAGAGGTCATTCAGTCCATTCTGTCTGCGCTAGCTGAATAAACTAGCTGCCCATTCTCATCCCACTAATCTAGCTGTCAATTCCAATCCGTGCTGTTGACAATGCTTTAGGTGCAGACCAATAAGTGAGTTACAGACACCCACCTTCCTCAAGTGAAAACTTCTTTTCCTAATAGACCCTCTAATCCTTCTGTCAATCACCTTAAATCTGTGCCCCTTGGTGATTGACCTCTCCACTAGATAAGATACGTCTTGCCAGTCCACTATATCCAAGCTGCTCATTATTTCGTATACTTCAAATGAGTCACTGCTCAGCCTCCTCTGTTCTAGGGTAAACAACCCTGGCCTATTTATTTTTCATCATGGCTACAATATTTTTGTAAATATTTGGGCAAGATTCTTGTCTCCTCTGTACTCTCTGTCGATCAGTTGGGTCTTGCCTGTAATGTAATGCCTAGAACTGTACACTAAGTTCCAGCTGTGGCCTATCTTTTTAGCTCCGGCATTAAATCCCTGCTCTCGTATTCTGTAGCAGGCCCAATGAAGAAAAGCTTCCCATATGCCTTCTTTTTCACCTTATTTACCAGTCCTGCCACCTTCAGGGACTTGTGAACAGGCATTCCAACGAGGCTCACTTCCTCCACTATTCTCAGTATCCTCCCAATTATTGTAAGTTCTCTTGCTTTGCTTGCTCTGCCTGAATGCATAACCTCACACTTCTCCAAACTGAATTCTATTTGCCACATTTCCACCAATCAACCAAATCAAACCTCAGTCATCAGCCAACCCCTTTACTATCAACTACATGCTCAATTTTATGATTAAGTGTCTTCCACATTTAAGTCTATATTATTAACATATATCACAAGAGCAAGAGACTCAACAAAAATCCTGTGGAATGCAACTAGAAGCTTCTATTTGTAAAAACATCTGTTAATTATTATCCTTTATTTCCTGTTACTGAGTCAATTTTGGATCCAACTGTCCACATTCCCCTTAATTTTTACTTTAATTTTTCTGTCAATCTGCCATGTGGAACCTTTTGAAATGTCTCATAAATTTTCTACTTGATCAAAAATATTACGTTTTTAATTCACGACCTTCCCTTAACAAAACCATGCTAATTATCCCAAATTAGTCTATATCTTTCTCAGTAAGAGTTAATCCTGTCTCTCACTATTGTTTCTAGTAATTTGCCCACCACCAAGATCAAACTGAATGGCCTACAAAATACTAGGCCTATCTCTTTTTTTGAAACAATGATACAACATTTGCAGACCCCCAGTCCTCAGTTATGTCCAGTGAAGATGGTAAAATGATCCTTGGAGCATCCATTATTTTGGGTTCTTTTAAAAGCTCAGGATCCAGCCATGGTAATTTATCCACTTTCAAGCATTCAGTCCATCCAGTACTTCCCTCCTCATTATGTTTTTCATCTCCTATTTCACACTCCATTAACTAGAATGTCTGTAGAATCACTCACTTTGTGAAGACAAAGAAATCATTAATAACCTGCCCAAACCTTTTGCAGTAAGATAACAAGGTGTAGAGCTGGATGAACACAGCAGGCCAAGCAGCATCATAGAAGCAGGAAGGCTGACATTTCGGGCCTAGACCCTTCATCAGAAATGGGGGAGGGGAAGGGGTTTTTGAAATAAATAGGGAGAGAGGGGGAGGCGAATAGAAGATGGATAGAGGAGAAGATAGGTGGAGAGGAAACAGACAGGTCAAAGAGGTGAGGATGGAGCCAGTAAAGGTGAGTGTAGGTGGGGAGGTAGGGAGGAGATAGGTCAGTCCAGGGAGGACGGACAGGTCAAGGGGGCGGGATGAGGTTAGTAGGTAGGAAATGGGGGTGCAGCTTGAGGTGGGAGGAGGGGATAGGTGGGAGGAAGAACAGGTTAGGGAGGTGGGGACGAGCTGGGCTGGTTTTGGGATGCGGTAGGGGGAGGGGAGATTTTGAAGCTTGCACCCTCATCTGCTTAGCCGAACTCATCCTCACCCTCAATAACTTCTCTTTCAATTCCTCCCACTTCCTACAGACAAAGGGGTGGCCATGGGTACCTGCATGGGCCCAAGCTATGCCTGCCTCTTTGTAGGTTACGTGGAACAATCCCTCTTCCATACCTACACTGGCCCTAAACCCCAACTCTTCCTCCATTACATTGATGACTGTATCGGCGCCGCCTCGTGCTCCCACGAGGAGCACGACAGTTTTTCCACTTCACCAACACTTTCCAACTCAACCTTAAGTTCACCTGGACCATCTCTAACACCTCTCTCACCTTCTTGGACCTCTCTGTCTCCATCTCGGGCAACCACCTAGAAACCGATATCCATTTCAAGCCCACCGACTCCCACAGCTACCTAGGATACACCTCCTCCCAACCACCTTCCTGCAAAAATGCCATCCCCTATTCCCAATTCCTTCGCCTCCGCTGCATCTGCTCCCAGGATGAGGCATTCCACTCCCGTACATCTCAGATGTCCTTGTTTTTCAAGGACCGCAACTTCCCCTCCACAGTGGTCGAGAACGCCCTCGACCGTGTCTCCCGCAACTCATCCCTCACACCCCCTACCCGCAATAACAACCAAAAAGGAATCCCCCTCGTCCTCATGTACTATCCCACCAACCTCCAGATCCAACGCATCATCCTCCGACACTTCCGCCATCTGCAATCCGACCCCACCACCAAAGACATTTTTCCCTCCCCACCCTTATCTGCTTTTCGGAGGGACCACTCTCTCCGTGACTCCCTTGTCCGCTCCACACTCCCCTCCAGCCCCACAACACCCGGCACTTTTCCCTGCAACCGCAGGAAGTGCTACACCTGCCCCCACACCTCCTCCCTCACCCCCATCCCAGGCCCCAAGAAGACTTTCCACATCAAGCAGATGTTAACCTGCACATCTGCTAATGTGGTATACTGCATCTGCTGTACCCATTATGGCCTCCTCTACATCGGGGAAACCAAGCGGAGCGCTTTGCAGAACACCGACGCTCGGTTTGCAATAAACAACTGCACCTCCCAGTCGTGAACCATTTCAACTCCCCCTCCCATTCCTCAGATGACATGTCCATTCTGGGCCTCCTGCAGTGCCACAACGATGCCACCCGAAGGTTGCAGGAACAGCAACTCATATTCCGCTTGGGAACCCTGCAGCCAATGGTATCAATGTGGATTTCACAAGCTTCAAAATCTCCCCTCCCCCTACCGCATTCCAAAACCAGCCCAGCTCGTCCCTGCCTCCCTAACCTGTTCTTCCTCCCACCTATCCCCTCCTCCCACCTCAAGCTGCACCCCCATTTCCTACCTACTAACCTCATCCCGCCCCCTTGACCTGTCCGTCCTCCCTGGACTGACCTATCTCCTCCCTACCTCCCCACCTACACTCACCTTTACTGGCTCCATCCCCGCCTCTTTGACCTGTCTGTTTCCTCTCCACCTATCTTCTCCTCTATCCATCTTCTATCCACCTCCCCCTCTCTCCCTATTTATTTCAGAACCCCCTTCCCCTCCCCCATTTCTGATGAAGGGTCTAGGCCCGAAACGTCAGCTTTCCTGCTCCTATGATGCTGCTTGGCCTGCTGTGTTCATCCAGCTCTACACCTTGTTATCTCAGATTTTCCAGCATCTGCAGTTCCAACTATCTTTTGCAGTGAGACTTAAGTTATCATGTAGACCTCTGATAGCCCTTACGATTTCCTTCCTTCATTTTGTAAGCTATCATTTTTTAATTTCCTGACTTAGCTTTACTAATTTCCCTTTTCACTTCACCCTGTATTTTCTATATTCCTCTAACCTTCCTAGAGAAAGGACTTTTGCTATTTTGAGATTGACAAAAGCTCGATTGTTCTGCTTTGTCTTACCTTGTACCCTATAAAGCTAGGGGGCTTTGTTTTGTCTTCCTGGGGACGTGTCTACACTATGTCATTAACATGATGTTTTTGAATGCCTCCCATTGTTTTATCATTGACTTTCCTTCAAACAGCTGTATCTAATCCACTTTCGCAAAATCATCCCTCAACTTTGCAAAAGTTGTGTTCCCCTAATTTAAAACTTATTCTGCTGTTCTATACTTGTCCCATTCTATAATGATGCTGACTCAATTGTGTTACGATCACTATTGCAAAGTAATCTTGGGCCGCTATTTCATCCATCAGCACAGCCTTGTTTCCAAAGACTAAGTCTAAAATTGCACCCTGTCTCATTGGGCTTGGTATGTGTTCGCTAAAAAAAAATATTCTTTTGAGTAGAGTTCAAGGGTTTTCTGTCTTTCACACATAATAATCCCAAGCGATATTTGAGTAGTTAAAGCCCCCAAGTATGATTGCACAGCTGTTTTTATGCTTTGAAATTTGTCTACATATTTACTCCTCCTACTCTGTTCCACTATTTGGGGGTCTAAAGTACATGCCTCAAATTGTTGCTGACACTTTCTGTTTCTGACCTCAAACCATATGCCGTCATTTGATGCTTCATTTAGTACATCATCTCTCCTTACACTTGTGATTAATTTTTTAATTAGTAATGTCATACCTGCAACTTTGTTACCCCTTTCTCTATCCTGCCTGAGAACTCTATATGCAGGGATGTTGAGCTGCCATCCCTGTCCTTCTATGCTGGGTTTTCATTTTAACACGGTACAGTGGTTCAGTGCTTAGCATTGCTCCCTCACAGTGCCAGGGACCCGGGTTGAATTCCAACCTTGGATGACTGTCTGTGTGGAGTTTGCACATTTTCCCCATGTCTGCGTGGGTTTCCTCCGGGTGCTCCAGTTTCCTGCCACAGTCCACAGATGTGCATGATATGTGGATTGGCCATGCTACATTATACTGTGGTGTCCAGGGATGTGTAGGCTGGGTGGATTAGCCATGGGAAATGCATGGTTAGTGGGGTAACTCTGGGTAGGATGTTATTTGGAGAGTTGGTGTGGACTTATTGGGCCAAATGGCCCATTTCCACACTGTAGGGTTTCTGTGAACAATGGTATCATGCTGCCATATCTATTTGTGCCCTCAGCTCATTGGCTTCATTTGCTTTAGTTCTTATATTTACATGAATTTCTTTTTAATACTGCCAAAACCCTATGTTTAAAGAGATGTGTGGAAAGCTCGCAGATGAAATAGACACAAACAAAAACCAAATGTGATCATAAGCTTAGAAGGATTACAACCACTTTCTTGCTTTATTCCCTTCTTGAATGTTCAAAATGCACTCATTTTTAAGAGTTACTCAGAAGGTGTGGGGTCTAATCCTTGCACCCAACACTTCTGGTGCAGGCAGCAATTGCTACTGAACTAAAGAACACACATCTTGTTTTCATTCAAGCACAGGAGGTAAAGACTGCTAAGAGAGGCTTTCTAAACACTATTTTTGTCCAAATGGTGCCCCAAATCATTATCTGTCAGGCCTCTGGTTTTACACAGCTTTTTCGGGTAGGGCTTATACAATTAATGGTAGGGCCTTGGATAGTGTTGTGGAACAGAGAGACCTAGGAGTTCAGGTACACAATTATTTGAAGTTTGCTTCACATATAGCCAGGATGTTTCAAAAGGCATTTAGCATGCTTGCCTTCGTTGCTGTGTTCTTTGAGTATAGGAGTAAGAAAGTTTTGTTGAGAATGTGTAGGACATTGGTGAGGCCTCTTCTGGAACAATGTGTCCAGTTTTGGTTGTCCAGTTATAAGAACGATATTATTAAGCTGGTGAGAATTCAGAAGAGATTTCCCAGGATGTTGCCTGGTATGGAAGGTTTGAGTTATAAAGAAAGACTGAAGAGGCTGGAACTTCTTTCACTGGAGCGTAGAAGGTTTGAGAGACGACCTTATAAAAATTTATAAAATCATGAGGGGTATAGATAGGGTTAGTGATAGGTGTCTTTTCCCTAGGATGGGGGATTTCAAGACCAGGGGTAACATTTTTAAGGTGAAAGGAGAGAGACTTAGAAAACATGAGTGGTGTTTTTTTTTACACAGAGGGTGGTTCACGTGTGGAATGAATTTCCTGAGGAACTGGTGGATGTGGGCATAATTACTACGTTTAAAAGACATTTGGATAAGTACATGAATAGGAAATGTTTGGAGAGATAAGGGCAGGAGCAGGCATCTGGGACTAGTTTGTTTGGATTTTGTTCAGCAAGGATTGGTTAGACTGAAGGGTCTGTTTCTGTGTTGTATGACTCTATGACTACAGGGTCCTTCAGAAAAACAGACCAGCATCAGGGATACTTTGCACCCAATTGAGTAGACTGTAAGATACAGGAGGAGAATTAGGCCATTTGAGTCTGCTCCACCATTCGATCATGAGCTGATATCTTTCTCAACCCCCTTCTCCTGCCTTCTCCCTGCTCCATAACCCTTGATCCCCTTACTAATCAAGAATCTACTCATTCTTAAAAGCACACAATGGCTTGGTATCCACAGTATTCTGCAACAATGAGTTCCACAGATTCACCACCCTCCTCATCTCAGTTCTGAACGGTCACTCCTTCACTCTGAAGTTGTGCCCTCGGGTCCTGGTTTCCTACAAATGGAAAAATAACCATATTGCCTCTATCCAGGCCTCAGCTGAATGGCTTCAACTCATTTGTTTAAGGACATTGTGTACATGCTACCTGATAAATGTCCACTTTTGCATGGGTCTTGTGAATGTGTTTGGGGTTACCTGATTAATTTGCCGAGGCATGAGTGAGTTTGAGTTTTTGAAATATGTGTCATGTATAATAAGTGTCTGACTTCTAATTTCCAGGTAACAGAAGATGTCTATCGGATGCTGAATAAAAGTAATTACGAGCTAGTTTGTCGAGGCAAAGTCAGTGTAAAAGGAAAAGGAGAAATGCTGACATATTTCCTTGAAGGAAAAGTGAATGCGAATCCACAAATAAGTTCAACAAATTTAGTAAGAAAATTATATCCAGATGGAAGAGCGAAACTGGCAGCAAGCTGTCCCTCAGTATCATCAGTAGCCAGCTTCACAATAAAGGCTGGACTTGGAACGCTCCAGGCGACTGCAATGCAAACAAATCAATCTGTACACTATCTTCCACCCATACCAGTTGTTGAACAAGCATAATGAATTAAAAAATTAAAGCTTAACTCTGAGCTGTTACTTGGGTGGAAATCAGTTAATGATGACAGGATGCACTGACCTTTCCAACTCAGCATTTGGAAGTCAGGCACTGAAAAGAGGAATGTTTGGCTGGAGCAATCCCCAGGAGAATATGGGTCATCGGCGCCAAGAATCGCTACGATCGAACCAAAGATTAAACTTTGGGTATTGTTACGAGTGCAGTTCTTGGAGTGAAAATTAAGGGCTAACTATCTGTTAGAAGAAGCAAAGAACTACATTTTGGGCATAGAGAATTATCTTTCTAAATAATATGAATCTTGGAAGTCTGAATCAATCATAACTAGTTTGTATATTTTATAGTTTCTGCATGTTTTCTAAATGTACAGAACACATTTTCCCATATCATATTGAGTTCTAAAATTAGTACTCACTTATACTTCAGTGGCCAATAGATGGTTCCAAGCATTACGAAAATATCTGTGTAATATTGCCTTACTTGTGTTCTTTTTCAAATATATATACATATATATATAGCATTTTAAAGTCTGCCTTTTTCATATCATACTCTGTAAGAATTTATTGTATGTAATTTCTGTAAATAATTTTATTAATTATACAGTATGGATTGTGTATGACATATGAGAAAGCACACGCCAGGTGAATATTTAATTAATTTTTATAACAAAGTTTTCCTTATGTAAGCATGACGACTGACATGCTGTAAAAGCTGTAGTATTCTTTCTTCTATTGTTCTGCATAACACATATCTAGATGCATCAAATATCAAAGCTATAGAACTCCCACTAGTTATAGGTAACCTTTGCAAGAAGGTTACTGGCAGTTTACAGTGACAGAGCACTGGCTGAATGATGAAAAACTATCCTTACCATTTTGTCCCCAAGCGCCAATACTATTACTCTGTAGCAATAAACCTCAGCTATGACAATATGTATTGAACATTTTATAGAGATTAAAGGATGCTAGTGGGTTCAGCCTGCACTGTTCTGATACTTTCACAACATGGTCAGTGTAGGCATTATATAATGAAGATTGCAGCTCAAAAGGTAGGAGAAGCACGTTGGGGAATAACATTTTTTCAAACATTTTGTGGCCTATGTAGTATGTCAGATGTTTTATAGACCATTTATTTTATGCTTTATCACACAAATAAAAACACTGCAATGTGTTTTTTTAAAACAGTAAATTAGCTTGCTAATTTTCCATATTTAAATACGGGTCTATTTTTATGTGCATATTGAATATTGTAGAATATCTTTCAGTCTCTTTTGGAACTGTAAGAATGACCTAAAGAATCAAATACTTGTTCTACCTTTTATGTTAAAAGTGGATAATATTCATGGAAATGTTTAATGTGAACGTAAATTTCTAATTATAACTTTTATACTGAGTGTTTGCACTATTATAATTTCTTCTGAGTCATAAAAAAAGTAAAGAAAAATGATTTGAAGAAAAATTATTGTTGTTTCTGTGCATTTTAAGTGTTTACTATAGTGATTTCTATCAATGTCATTTTATTGGATGTATCACTTTCAACTTCAAAATGCAAAATGATTCATTATGAATTTAAGTTAGAAGACTTCAACAAGTCTTCTTCTATTGTGCATCTCTTTTATTGTTATCACTAATCTAAAACTTTGATACCAAGAAACATCTCTATACTCTTTAAAAAAAAAACTGTTCACCAAATATTTGTTCGTGGGAAATAGGCTTCATTGGCTAGGTCAGCAATTATTGCCCATGTCAAGTTGTATTTGAGAAAGTGGTGGTGAGCTGTCTTCTTGAATTGTTACAGGCCATTTGATGTAGGTACAACCACAGTGCTGTCCAGAACTTTGACTCAATAACGCAGAAGAAATGACAATATGTTTCCAAACCAGGATGCTGAAGGGGAACTTTCAGGCTGTGGTTTTCCCATTTATTTGCTTCCCTTGACCTGCTACTTAGTAATGGTAGTGGTTTTAGAAGATGCTGTCTGAGGAACTTTAGTGAATTTCGGCAGTGCATCTTGTAGATCACACTGCTGGTACTGGGAGTTGGTGGTGGAGACAGTGACTGTTTGTGGATATAGTGCTAATCAAATGGGTTGCTTAGCTTCTTGGTATGCTTAGCTTCTTGAGTGTTGTTGGAGTTAGTGGGGTATATTCTAACATACTCCTAAAGCCTTGTAGATAGTGGACAGGCTTGGGGAAATCCGGAGGTGAGTTGGTCGCTGCAATTTTGTAGACACTTGTATATAAGCCCGTTCAGTTTCCAATGGTGGTCCCCAAGCTGTGGATATTTGCTGATCTGTAAAATGTGCATTTTCTGTTATTGTTTGACAAATTATAGGTATGATTTTCTATAAAAATTCTATAAAGAAGCCACAGAAAATTATATTTTACGACATGTCAGCAGTTGTTTTAAGACAAAGATTATTTCTGCTATTAAAAGTCTCACAAGTCAAATAAAAATTTGTAACATACATTTTATATAGGTATCAAACAAGAAAGTATGGGCTCAAGATTATTTATTTTTACAGTGAGCCTGTTGTATTTATTTAGTATTATGGCATTTTCAGTTGTGGATTTTGGACAGGACTGGTTTTGACCCCGTGATGACAGTGATAGTAATCTCAATGAATTTAGGGCTCCACTTTGGTATTTTACGAAGAGACATTGATACATTAAATACATGGCAGATGGAGTTCAATGCTTGTAGTTGTCAGATCATCCCTGATGAACCAAGAAATGATTGATATCCAGGTATTTTCTAAATGGTAAAAAGCTGAAAACAGTGGAAGTCCAAGGAGATATATGGATCATGTGCTAGTCAATGCAGCAATGTACTAGTCAGTGCAAAATATAATCAAAGATTTTAATGGATTTCCATGATGTCACACTATTAAATGCACTCAGTCAAGCTCCACTAGAAATATGCAGAGCAGGTAAATCAGAATGTCAATCTGCATTGCTATTTTTGACCTCTAAGCTCCAGGTGACACTCTCAAGCTCACACAGCTAAACATGACATTAAACATGAAAGACACTGAACAAGTGCTGCTTAAATGTATCATCAAGTGCTTGCAGGTTAGTTAATGGTTTATTTACATTTTTTGTGCTTGTATAATTATTTCAAGTTCCAATAATTTACAGGGAGTGATGTGAAGGCTGCTGAAGCATTTATGTGCTGACTCCAAGTATTCTACACAAATCTGTTTTGCCCAAGTATGGATGGAGAGGTAAGTATTCTGGTTTTAATTGCACATAGCAAGGAGAATTGCAGGAACCACAAAAACTGCTGGAAGAGGGATGAGGAGGAGGTGAGAAGTGCTGTCAACAGATGGCTGTAATCACCCAAGCCTTCCTGTCTGCCATGGTTTTCTGGGAGTAGTTCTCCTACCTGAATTTCAACAATGCTCAATGTTTGAAATGTCTGTTTTACTGAAGGGGTTATAACTGAACTGTATTAATTCCCACAACCACAGTTCCAACCTCCTTCAAGGACAAGGATTGTATTGCCAGTGACTATGAAGATAACTGTGGCTTTGAATTTTCATGCATCTATTTCTTCCCACATTGCTGCTGGAGCTATTAATGGCATATTATTGCTTGCAGTGCACTGCTGCATAATGGAGACCCCTGAGATTCCCCATACAAAGAAAAAATAAGCTCATTTCGTTCCCTCTGGCCAAAAATTGGCATGCTGAGGAAGTACAAGAGCTTTGCAAAACAGCAGGATTTCCCATGAAGCAAGGTGTGATTGTATGCACAATCCTTTACATGTGCCTCGTTAATTCTGTCATATCCTTGAATCAAAAGGAACTCCACTATATCAATATTTAGCCAGCAAAACTTTGGAGATCTGGCAGCACCTGTGAGCAGAACACAAAATTAACATATCAAATCTGGTGACTCTTCATCAGAGCACTGATTCTGATGAAAAGTCACCAAATTCAAAACATAAACTCAGGTTTCTCGCCACAAATGCTGCCAGACTTGCTGAGTTTCGCCAGCAATTTTTTTTGTTTCAGAGCTCCAGTATCTGCAGTTCTTTGTTTTATATCAATATTTAGCTGGTGTGCAAGACTACAGACAGCAAATCATATCAGTCAGTGCTCATTATCCTGGGAGAAGTCTTGATGCATTCATTCTGCAGCAATCCTGTCTATCAGTCTGCTGTGCCACATTTCTTTCAGCCACTACAACAAATCAAACGGTAGTCACTGGCTGCCAAAGGGAAACTGCCAACAGATAATTCCAGTTTGTAGCTCATGCACAGTCGGGCAGTATGCAGACAAAGAGCCATGCTGCCACAAAGATTTTTTTTATTGTTTGATGCAATGGGAGCATCACTGGTGAGGACAGCATTTTGTTGCCAATCCCTCCCTGCCTTTGAGAAGGTCATGATGAGACACTTTCTTGAATCTAATTGATTGGACTATATTGAAGCAAAAATTCCAATGCCTGCACTACCCTGGAAGGGCCATGTAGTGGTCAACTGAGAGTATTTGAAGAACTATGCTGATTGGCTGCTGTTACATAACTTTGCTGTCATGAGGCAGCAACTTTTGCCACTACCTATGAGGTGAAAAGGTTAGGGACTGGGGAGAGGGCAAGACCAAGAGGAAGGAGAAGAAGGGAGGCTACAGTTTAGACCACCACCTTCTGCCTGACCTGTATGTAAATAACTAAAGAGAAAGACCAGTGTTCATGACTCAATTCTGTATTTACCAACAGTCCTGAACTTCCTCCATCACTGATCATCCCATCCACTTTTTGGCCAGAATATGGAAGTACGTAAAATGAGCATCAAATGAACTTAAATCATATATAAATTATATATAACTTAAGTCATATATATTTTATGGAAACTCAAGTCAATAAATCTCATGCTTGTCTAAACATCTGCCCTCTTTGTGCATTTAGCTGTCGTAGGGTTTTTCAATAAAGTATTATTTCATGTGCTGCAGACTTTCAGTAGATGGCTTTGTAGCATGCCTTTTATCCACCCTCTTCTCCCCCCCACCCACCTCAACAACCTGGAAGAAATTCAACTGTCCAGTCACCTTTGACTGAATCAGATCTGAGGAAGGGTCACTCAACCTGAAACGTTAACTCTGATTCTCTCCACAGATGCTGCCAAACATGCTGAGCTCTTCCAGCAATTTCTGTTTTTTGTTTCTGATTTGCAGCATCAGCAGTTCTTTCAGTTTTTACTTTGATTGAATCAAGTTTGCAGAGTAGGAATTTTCCCTGACTGTGCTTCAGGAGTCAAAAATATTTTTTTTTTTCAGGCCTCCTCATGAGACATTTTTCAAGGGTTTTTTTTTATTTTTAGGCTAATTTTCTCATTTTCACTGTTTGTTTTAAAATATAGGGTATTTTGACTCACACTGAAGCAACAATAGAATAATTAATTAATATCTTTAAATAATAATCAACTCTCCATTAAACAGGATACCATGATATATAGAAAACATTAATTTCTGAGCCATTACTTTATTTAAATAGGTACAACAGGCATAAGGAGGCAGCGAATGTGTTTTCCGAAGTAACAAATTCCACTTCGACATACAAAAAGCCATCACCCAAAACACATATTCCACAGACTGTTGAAAGATTGAGGCCACATGTCCACCAGGTATGCACAAAGCTGGAACACTTTAACCAGGCAGTTGCTACCCTTCTTTGTAGTGCATCTCAAATCATAATCTCAGATTTAAATTTAACAATCAATACTGTGTTCATTTCCGTAGAATCTACGACATGCTTTTTTCTAATTGTAGTAGCTTTGAACTTATGTAACCTTAAACTAGAGATTCCACTTTCATTTTCATAGAATTAATTACTTTCATGATTTAAAGATTTCTTAGAATCAAGTTAGCTGAGTATTTCTTTATTGACAGGTTAAAAAATTTATGCTCTCAATTTCAATTTTCCTCTCTCCCTTAAAAATTATTTTATCCTCCATAACCCTTTTACAGCCCCAATGCACAGTCTCAACAGTATTGCTGACCCCCTCCTCTGAACATAACTGCATTGCAGGCCCTTCACCAACCGAAACCCTCTTGCAAATTTTATATTTTCAATATCCAGAAAAACATAGAATTTGAAAATAGTTTTGAATATTGCTATGCAAAACCTCACCACAATGTAATTGTGCTGCATCAAGAACCACAATTTAGACACCACTTTAACAAGAAAGACGCAGATTCCTCTTAAATCCAGTGAATTCAATAATCCTGGATGAACACCCATTTGTTATGATCCCATTTGATGTTATTTCTGGACTATTCAGATCCTAGTTTGAAACCTCACTTGATGGATCTTCTTTTGATTTCAT